TGAGGTGATAAATTGAGCTGAACCGCGAAGAAATGCTGGGGGGAATTTGTAAAACAAAGACTGTACCGTGTAAGGGAGACGTAGATACGTATGGTGCAATTCATTGGGTCTAAGGATGGAATATATGTGTGCCTGAGCGTACGCTAGCAGATTTTGTAATTACTAGGTTCTTAACTCTCGTTACGTACACTTGAACGCAACAAGAAGCATTTCACTTAGTATAATGTTGATCAATTTTCATTCACTTATTTCCTTATATTCCAATTTCCATTCCCCTATGTTTTAAATAGCTCCAAAACGAAATTGTCATAATCAAGAAATACATTAATGCTGAATAATATAATCAAACGTGTTCTGAAAATAAGTTCTCGTGTTTTTTTTGTAAGCTTTCCATAAAATTTTGTTTAAAAACAAATCTACAAATATTTACTTTATGGATATGAAAAGAGCTATTCATCATCTTTCATCAAATAACTCGTGACATCGTTGTAGATACCACCCAGGTGCCATTACTTTGACCGACATCGTTCGGTGCAAAAATTCAAACAAATATAGCCCTAATGGATATACTAGTAAACATACATGAAAATACAGACGTTTTTATGAATTACTATATAATACGCGAGAACAGCTGAAACGCGTAACTGGTGAAACAATGGAACGTCTGTGAGCTTGAGAAAGAACCCAAAAGCGAGACTAGCGCGTGCATCTCATTGCTATTCAAATCCGAGACGGCCTAGCTTGATTTGTCGTGACGCCACCTCGCGCTCGCCGCGGCTTCATTACTTTCCCGCCGAGATTTTCCGGAAGTCTCATCGCGTAACCCGACGATCCACCTTCGTGAGCGGGTCGCCGGACGCCAGAACGCGTCGTGGCGCGCTCTCCGCCAAGTACGGCGTCGTCTGGCCGCTAGGGCGCCCCGTCCGCGGACACGCTTTGTGAGAGTCGCGAGCGCACACCGCGCGTCGCTGTCCGCGGGCCAGATGCCCATCTTTGACGGATTATGCTCCCGCGGCGTTTGTTTTACTTCTTACTCGCTGCGCATCTCACTTTCTGTGTGCTCAGGCGGTTGGCTGCCGGCCCGTATTTGCATGATGACTTGATACACTGGAGAGCCCCGACGGGAGAATGTCACATTCAACGCAAAGTAGGCGAATGAGTAACAGTCGCTGGGCTTGAGAGCGAACGTGCATGAAGCGCATGGACATAAACGCTCGGCAGCAGATGTGCAATGTTGTCGCGATTTTTGAAGTCGCTCGTTTGTTGCCCCATTCTTCCCGTATGATGTGAAGCAGATGACGTAATTCTGCTCTAATGGTTCATTAATGAACTATATCTACGTCATGTACGAGAGACCGAGATGTTGATTCATTCAGCTACTTATTCGTAAAGAAGCGACGCTGATACCTTTCGTTGCTCGTCAGTACCAAGGTGCATTCCTGGGGTTCATGTGGCACGTCTGTCGGAGGTCATTCGTAATGTGAGAATAAATCACGTTAACTCTCCCGTAATAAAACACGTTCGTAATTATCATAGTGCTCGGAACGTCGTTGATGTACTCCGTGTAATGGCTATTCTCGTTTATTTTCGCTCCAGAGCACTCACGAAGGGGAAGTTCTTATATCTTGAACGATATTGACTGTAAAGTTAAACATTGTTCGTTATAGCGTCTGTCGTAGCTGTTTGTCATTGAGTTTGATGTATCGTTTCCTCATATCCTAGTTTCGTAGAAATAAAGTTGAATTATCAGAACTCCGCTACTGTAGAACCGCAATCACGAATCTGAGAGGGAGAGAGCTCTCCGGCCTACCCAGTTTGACGTATTGATACTGATTTCCCCCCCTCAATACAAATAGTTTGACACTTTTTTAATTTTTTTTCTTCCTCTTCTCCATTCATGCAACATACATAATTTATTTCCGATATGGCTTTTGCATTCATTCATCCTATTCACTCTCAGTGCACTACACTGCACTTCAAATGTGTCTTCCGTTCATCGTGACATCTGCTTGAACTGGACTGGCCGTGGCACTCAGGAGCTCTGAGAGCTTGGGACGGTAACCCGCTAATAGGAGATACCTAGTTGCTGGAAAACCCCGCAACTTGCCTGATAGGCCGACGCTGGATCTCGCATCCAGCAATGAAAGACACTAGTTGCCTGTGTGGTGAAAACATGCACTACGCGTATGGGAATAAAATACCTTGGCGTATGACGCGTGTGAAATCACCAATCAATCAATCAATCTCGCCGTAGCGCTGAGGCTCATTCGGAGGGAGGCGTGGCGGACGTGGCGCGGCGCTGCCCGCGCGTGCTTCGGCCGACCATTCCCCACCCGCTCACTTCGCCTGCCCTCCCCTCACTCGGCCTCTCCGCGTTATGGCCAGCGCGCCAATCGCCGCCGCCAGCGCGCGCAGCGATCGCCAATAACTCGAAATCCTTGTTAACTCGCTGCTAATGCAGCGGTGCGGCGCCGCCGCCGTCAGTCGTTATCCCGATCGCACGCAGCGGCCCAAGACGTGCGAGAGCGGCGGTGAAGGCGGTGGTGTGGGGGTGGCGGCACAGTGGCGGAGAGCAAGGTTTCTGCCGGGCACAGCCTTGAAGCTGGTACGCGGATCACTTTCCTTTCGAGCTAGTTGTCATTGAAATCAGGGTAGTAGAAGTCGTATGAATAGAACCGCTTGTGTTGTTAGGACTCAAAAAATCTACGAACTGTGCATTTCAATTAAAAATGCTACTAGTGAGGTCAGAATCGAAGGCAAAACATATCGGCATTGCAAATTTTCCATTCGAATGTAAAGTATTAATCAATACTTGGTGACTTTTAATTTAACAAAAAAAATTAATCAAATCATTATTGTAATTTAGATAGTCACTGAGTTCTTTATGCCATAAGTGTACATTTAACTTTTAGAAAGTTCTTTTTTCTTTTCGTGTACACACTTTTAGCTATGATTTACTGTTTCTGTTAATCTAAATATTAAAAATTATAGAATTAAATAGTCACATGCGTGTATCAGAGACCGAAGTGGAATCTGAATTCCGAACGTCGACGACTCGAATCTTATTCATTTCACTTCACCACCCCTTTGGAGAGTGAATCGGGCCTCGATGAGAAACTATCCAACAGCCCGACCGCTTCCCCTTGCAATAGAAGGTACGGAGGTTGCACTGTAAAAAAGTTGTTTTAGGAAAATGTGGATACAAGATATGGAAGTTGCACCGCAAGCAAGAGATTTTTAGAGGAGGTTGGTGCGTGCAATGCGTCCTTGCGAATCCGCTCATCGCCCACTGCGCGCGGCGCGCTGGGCTGAGGCCGCGTCGGCGGTGCGTCTCCCGTGAACGCGCCGCGCCCGCCCGCTCGCGAGCGCGCGCGCGTCGCCGTATAATTAAGGCGGGTATCCGCGGCGCCGCGCGTGTGTTGCTGGAAATTGAAAGCGCTCCCGAGGGGAGGCCTTCATCTATGTTAATGCGCCAAGTTTCTTCCTCGATCGGAGGTTAATTAGGCCGTAAAAGCCGCCGCTGCCGACCAACCGACCGTCCGACCGTCCGCCGCCGCCGCCGCCGCCGCCGCCGCGAGGTGCAGGCAGCCGGGCGAGACTGAGGTGAAGCCGAGACAACGCGGCCGCTTCGCAGTGGTGGAGGGACGGGAAGTGGTGGAAGGAGGGGGTTGGGACCGCCCGGTCGTTTGTGCATTGATGGACGCTCTTCTGACCGTGGTCGTTTCTGTTCTTTTGTTGCAGGTGAGTGCTGTGGTGCTCTGAGGCGAGGCAGCTGTTTGGGTGAGTGTTCCGGCTCCTCGGTGGATGAAAAGTTGCTTTTTGAGGATACGTGATGATCGCGCGTCCCGCTTCTTGTCATTGTGGAAGCGTACTCGTAATGCGTGCATTCACTACGGAAACCGAATAGAATTTTCGCAAAACAGCTATATTTCAATTCATACATTTTTTCCCTGACTCTACCAAAGAATATTTCATTCCATGGATTATTTCGTGTAACGCAAGCGTGAATGCATTCCATTACAATTTCTGCAGATATACGCTCGTAATAAAGGACTTGTTTTTGGAACGCGTTTCTTAAAATTCACTGCGGAGATTCAGAATTATGTATTTGGGTCAGTTTACTTTCTGCGCTAACAAGCTTGTTACGTTGCAAACTCTTTTTTATTGCAATGTAGCCGCTTGTTATTGATTCGCATGGCGTTCTTGACTTTCTTATTGTACCCTCGTTTGGTATACATCTCGTAATTGGAATGTATAAGACGTCGAATAACTTGTCGGGCAATTTCTGATGCACATTGTTACGAGATACCGTTTGCCCCTCGTAATAACTAGGAATTTTTCGTGTAATTGAGATGTCATTCTAAATGAACGAAGCGCAAAACTTGCTCCTAAAAAACCCGCCTTGAGATACTCCGTTTTTTCTTCCGTCCAAGAATCTTTCTTTCTAATATCTGATCAGAAATTCTTGGGAGCTCTGTACCGTTCGCCTTAAAAACCGGAAACGGGCGAAAAACCTTAATCAGATGCAATAATACCGATCGCTGGAACATCATCTCGAAAGGTGCTCTTTCAATCAAGTGTGGCAGTGCCGGGCGGTGCCTTTGAAGAGGCGGCCGGGAGAATAAGAGGGGCGGGGAAGATGGCCGGATTCTCATGTGCGAGGCGTTTACGGCGGCGGCGGCGACGGTCGGCGCGCGCCGCAAGAACTAAGTGGGGCGTGCCTTTCTAACGAGCCGCTCCCCAAGGATGGCAGCAGCGTCTGGGACTGGCAGCCGCTGGCGCGGGGACAGGGGGGCAAACAAGGTAGTACGCCAGGGAATGGGGAGATGGGACACGCGGGCGAAAATAGACGTAGAAACGAAATTATGCAGTAACACTGTAGGTGAAGTAGAAGAAAAGTTACAGCAGAGAAAATGCGGATTGGAAAGAAAGAATGCTAACAATATAAATACACAATATACAATACACATTTTGTGAGGATGGATGGCAAAGAGGAGGGAAACGTGAAAGCTAAAAAAAATTAAACCGTTGGTGGAATGGAACCTGATTGATCGGTGGAGGATTTATAAAATGGTATCTGGACTCTTCCTAAACAAGATCTAAGTACAAAGTTACATTTTCTGTAAAGAACACGTAAAAATAACAATTAATAGACAACGCACTTGAAAACGAAAAAATATAAAATATAAATAAAAAATATAAATGTGAATAATAAGGAATGCATGAGTTGAGATTGGAAAATAATTCCCAGTGGGAGTTGGTGTCAGAATTGGTACATCATTATTTCAACGGCAAACCAACAGAAATGGTGTATTTATCAACTCAACATAAAACATGAGAGAAAAGTCTAGTACACCAGACATCGCCAGGAGTCTCCGACGTCTCTGTTCGTGAGGTGGAAACGAGGGTGGGGGTGCATAGCGACCCACCCGCCGCAAGGTGGTCTCGCGCGTGCCGCTAACGACCCCCGCGGGCCGCTCATTCCGATCTTTATTTAGGCGCTCGAGGACGCGCAGTCATGCCGGTTGTCGGAGGGACAGACAACGACGCCGTCGCGACGGCAGCGGCGGCGGCGGCGGCGATTAAAAGCGTGGCGGTGGCTTGCGGCTTTAATTTCGCGGAACCATCTCGTCCAGCTCCAAGGTCGTTATTGAGGGCAATCGGCGCAAAACTGCGCTAGTCATGGTATTGCTTGTCTACGACGTGTAATGGAGCGGGGTTACGTAAAAAAAGGGGAGCAGTTACGATCCAGACAGTATGGTACTGTCTGAAGTATCGCTTCAGATTTAAGTGTGTGAAATTTACATTTGCACGAATGTGATTGCCTCAAAGCGGCATACGCGTTGTCCGTTACAAATGTATTCAAAGTGTTTGTACAAACAATATGTAATGAATGCTATTAACGATGTTTCATCCCTTGCTATGGCGTTTTGAACGTAATGTACCGAGAAAATGAATAATGTGTATTACGAAGTAAGCAAGAAGCCTTCTGTTTGATCGTTGCAACATTCCCAGAACTCCCAGTCGATATGACGATGAAGAAACAGTGGTACACTACCTGCTGGTTAAAGCTATAAAGCAAAATAGTATCCATATTTACGCCGCGCCCTCAATGAAACAACCGCTCATGAAAACCCACCGCGTGTGTCTCCCGAAGGTCTGGCAATTGTCTGGCGTTACATTCGCGTCTCTCCATGAATCAACTGCGGCGCCCAATACGGGGCACCTTTCTCCTTGCATTATTCATAAGTCGGAGCGAGCCATATTTCCAGAAACATAACGTGATCGGTAAACACATAGACGTGCGCTGTTTTCCGGAGTTGCATCGATCCGTCTTTTGCGAACGCTGGGAACGCCCGCAAGGAGCGCCACAGATGCTGCTGCCTAAGCGCCATCCCCCCACCACCCCCGTTCCCGCCCCCGACACCACCATCGACACCGCCCCCTGCCGCGGACACCACCCCACACACAGACCCCGACACCACCACCACTGCCAACAGCATTACAACCACCACCACCACAATCACCTTCTCCAACACTGCCACCCCTCTGCCATCGTCACCGCTATCGCTGCAACATTAGCCCTCACTGCAACCAACGCTGCTAACTCTGCTTCTTCGACCGTGTCGTCCGCCTCCGATCTGTCTGACTCCATCGTCACCGCCATCTCCTCCACACCCGTCTCCGCCATCTCTAGACCCATCTCCGTGTTCACCTTCACCCCATACTCGGACTCCTACCTCCAACTCTGCACCATTTCCGACTCCGCCGTCGCCGTCGTCTCCACCTCCACCTCCGCCTTCGCCTCCGCGACCGCCTCCGTCTTTTGCAAACCGCCGCCGCAGCATCTAGCCTCTGCTTCTCGCCTCTGCATATCTGCTGCGTTCTGGGCCATCTGCCTTGAATGGACGCTGAGATGCGGCTACGCCTGCCTTTGAGGGCAGCAGGGGTAGGGGTGGGAGCGGGAACGAGGGCAGCGGGGATGGGGTAGCAGCTCCAGGAAGAGCTCACTTCCTGGAGGGCAGTGTTGTGGAAGAAATGTGCAACCTCGACTCAGATGCCAGACTTCACTTCCATCACCTCATGCATTGATTTTTCACATTATCTCTCTGACATGTTGCACTGAGAACTGCGACCTCTCCTCATTCAACATGTTTTTGAAATCATTCAAATTGACATTTACTCCATGATCATTTGTACAACATATCAGTTTGGGGTATATTTAATACTACTTGCTTTTATACCATCGATGTAGGCAACAAATACTTTACTCATACTTATTGACACAATTTTTCTTAACTAAAGGGCAAGCCTCGATGTTCTAGATAGGCATTCTGTGGTCAGGCTGTATCCCGACACCATGCCATTACCGCTGATGGAAAATTATGCTTCGTGATGTATTATTCGTAAGCTACCTCAGAAGATAACATCATCCCGACGAGCACGTTACGAGTATCAGAGACCGCTGAAACGGCACTGTTATGCCCCCTAACCGAGAGCGACGTGCAGGCGGTCGGCTCCGCGGTGGAGAGGCCGTCGCCCGCGGGCGGGCGGGCGGCGGGCGGCGCCGGAGCGTGCGTGGCGGCGCCGGGGCGGCGCATGTTGGGCGTCAGGACATCGGCGTGGACCAATCGATGCCGGCCCGCGGGCGCCGCGCTCCGACAATTACGGGCCATTGGAGAACGAGCCGTGGGGAATGGCCGCCGCCCGTTGCCTCCCCCGCCTCGCCCGCGCCCATCGCCCAGCCCCGGCTTCCCGGGCGGTCGTTTCGCGGCTCATGTGATCTTGCGGCCATCTGCGCTTCCGGTCGCCCGTTTTGCTTATCGCACGCCAACTTAACTTGCACCCTCGCCCCCGCGGTTTTCGGTGATGGCGGTAGGGTACGTTGTGGTCCGATTATGGCCGTTGCACTATTCGGATGTGATCGGTGCGAATAACATGTGGCGCGGGAGAAGTATTGCCCTTTGATGGGGATTGAGTGCCCTTTTGTATCTGCCTTCCGGAACTCCGAAAAATGGACAACTTTGACTTTCAAGGCAATAATCGCGTATTGATTGTATTGAACGTAAGCTGGACTTGTCTTGGGATCATTTTATGCAATTGAACATGAACTCTAGGTCAATAAATAAATGCAAAAAGTAATGAGAAGACAAAGCTTGGTATATATGACCGAAACTACGCCAGAATTGATGTATATTAGAATAACGATTTGGATAAATAAATATAAAAGAGTGCACTTGAACTTTTTAAGAATCTTTCAATTAGCCGAATCGATATATGTAAAGCTCATCGTAGCACTGTATCCACTTGAATGATATTCATCTCCGCATTAATGCATGACTTCAGAGGTTTCCTTTCGTCGTCAATGTACACACGTGATTTCCATTTATAGACGTTGCCTCGTCGTGTTTCCCCTTTGCTCCAACAAAGGACGACGCAGTTCGCGACCCGACCATGCTCATTGACGTTTGTCGCTCCACTTCATCGTGAATTCGCCACTTTCCACAATCAGATCTTTAGATTTCAATATGGACGGTGTGGCAAGTGCATTCTAGTGCCCTAACGGATGAAGTTTCTGAACAGTCAACCAAATTGTAAATGTTACTGGAAGCTACAAAGAAAATCCTTGCCAGAAATGAGAAGTTTAACAACTTATCCACAACCGCAAATGTATGATGTACTAACATAAACTTAACCTCAAGATTAATACATCGACTTTGAGCTTCACGGTGACAGTTGTACGTATCCAAACAGCTGTTTTCATGAGTTGTCTGCCTGAG